AAAGCTACTCAATATTTTAAAAGTGTGAGTTAATTATTACAATTTGAAAATTTCAGTTTCTATGGCATAGATCGCATTGGCATCGTATCGGACCTAGTTAAGAAATGGTTCATAACAAACACGACGCTGTGGCGTAAGGACAAACAGCTGACTCCATACGAACCAATGGAAATTTACCCGTGCAAAGTACAGTACCAGTGAGGAAGAACTTAGCTAATTCTAATCCATACCTTTAGCCCAAAAGTATGTATTTACAAAATACTATTAATGTGCAACCTCCAACTAATGTGTATTAAATACTTGAGCATGCAAATTTAAATATATGTTCAGAGGGTGGGCTATCCTTACGTAGAAATTTTCAACGATTTTTCTTACCTACATATTAATTTTTTGGAATAATTAACTGCTTGCTCTATTTGATTCCCCTTGTTCTAAACTACAAGTCTGCAACGTGTTTTCCTTTAAGAAAACACCTCCTGAGACTTTTGAAGGCCTATTTTTAACCACTCGTCCTTAAAACTTTTCCAAAGTCCATATAAAGTCGTAGCTAATTTTTACATTTTCTCCACGATGCATGGAAAATTGACCTTGTCCCGTTTCAGTCATTTACTCTGAACAAATCATCGTCGATTGTGACCACATGTTCTTCCCTAAGGTCCAGAAATGTGATTCTCGTACATCATTTTAGCCAATAGTGCGAAAGCTCTTTGGGGTTTCCTGATTGATCATACGGTTGAGCATGGTTTTTAGCTTTTTCGTCCCTTCTGAAAGGGGACAGTGTTTAGGGGGAGGAGGCGATCCATGATTAATGCCTTATGTTCTAACACCTTCTATATTCGATATGCTATAAATTCAGGCCAAAGAAATTTTATGTCCACGTGCATTAACCAGTTCTGATAACACTTCCGGTAGAACCATGGCTGGAAAACTTTTTCACTAGTACCTTCGCTTAAAATGGTAAGGGAGGAGCTATTTTTTAGAATTTCGAGTGAAAAAAAATCACTAAATAAAATCAGATCACATTAAAATACTGTGATCCTACCGCTTACTCCTAGACTGATAGTGGTCATCTACGACAGAGAGATTACCTATTTTTATTACACACATAGATTTTTAAACTCGTCATTTATGCCGTATCTTGAGACTTCTCAATATTTTAGATATGCATAGAAACTTGTACCGTGAAAACTCAAATAGTAGCCGGGGGCTACTATTTATAAAATATGTGGCTGAGACACGGCTACTATTTGAACAGGGCTACTATTTGGGCAAGGTCACTATTTCTAAAATTTTGAAGATGGACACGGCTACTATTTGCATACAACTTTCGCTTCCTGAATCAAGCTCAAATTAAATTTAATAACAACACCAATTTTGCCCTTAGAGACGTAGTCCATTATGATATTACTATGCTCGACCTGCTCTTCAATGATTCCTTCGATGAGCTAAATTCGTATTTTGTCATCGACTCATGGCTTCTATACCGTGTAACTACGATTGTATTGAATTATAATTTAATTATCTTAATGAACTGTCAAGAAGTGTGGTTTAAAGACGCGTCTATTCGAAGAAAGCTACTATTTGGGCAAGGCAAGGCTACTATCTGAGCAGGGCTACTATTTGGGCAAGGCTACTATTTGAGCAACGGCTACTATTTGAGTTTTTACGGTATTTGTCAACCGAATCACTTCAAACTTAAAGCTTAAGCTCATCTGATTTATAAACATTACATTACATTTTGCTCATCATTTTGCTCATCACTATTTAATTATTTATGCATTGTCTTGAAATTTATCAATATTTTCGATAAGTAACCAACATACCAATTTCCCAGGGTCGAGAAAAGGGAGCAAAATATTGGTGAGTTGAGTTATTGCGTTCCTTTTGATTTTGCAATAAGTATTGCAATCAACGTCATAAGTGAATATGAATCGAGTATTAGTGAGGAATGCCCTTGTACATTACAGAGATATTTGCATCAAACCCACATACGTAAGTCGCTTCAGCGACTTGAGAATTTACCAGTTTATTTTTTTTCATTTCTAAAGATTTGATTGACATAGTCATTTAGGTTTACCCCAGCCATCAATTGTGCTTTTTCTGATTTCACCCCAGCCATCGATTTTTTGTTATTCATTAGGGACTCCCAACTTTGTAAAAAATCGTTTTTTTGCACTTTTCTCGAAACACCTTTTTTCTCAATTGCTATGCGATTTCGATTTTTCTTCACTCTTTTGGTAAAAAAATAAAATTTATCTTAACCTTGATTTTATATTGAAGCAAAAAGTATTCGAAAAAATTCTAATCTGGATTTGGAATTGAAAAAAAACATTTTGTAAAAGGAGCCATTTTTTACAAAGTTGGAACTCATTAATTCTATAATTTGGACTCCAGGTTTTTTTCGTTAAATTAGTCGCAAATATCGAACATTTGTATTTAGGTTAGTCTATCCCATCTACATACCTTTCATTATCTGACACCACAATCGATCAAATGCAAATGAATTACAAAACCACTGTCATATAATTTAATTAGGTATTTTTTGACGCAAATGCTCAAGTACAGATGATCGTTGAGAGGTAAATATGTTCATGTGTTCATGTGTACAGTGGCGGCGTAAGTTATTGACAGCAATACTGTTCCCCAACCTAATGGAATCCTATCTCGCCCAAGTTATCAAGTCCAACCCACTCCATCTCACAATGTCCCACCCCACTTCCGCTGCTACTGTACTTGCGTCCGAATTGAATAGATAAACTGAACATGTTAATTTACGGTGTCCAATATGTTTCTTTTATGTAAGTACATTCCTGAACATTTCTGGTGGTTACAAATTTTTTACGGGTAAAATTTATGTACTGGGCCCTGAGATAATCTTAAATCTTCCGGTAAAAATATATAAATTTATCTTAATTTGGCCTGAGATAAAGACTTTTAAATGCAGAAATGTCTTAATACAGCCCCGAACAAAAATTCGGTAATTTATTAATTTAACACAACCTTTAAAACAATCTTTAATATATGTACAAATTGCAAATAACTCAATCAAAAGAAGTTTACTCCGTAGAGTGTTTTCCTTTTTAATGGTGGAATTGATAGACTCCAGACCTCCATAACCTCGTTAGTGCTTGGGTATAACCCTCGTACCATCCCAACCTTTGACCGAGGTAATTGGTTTCGAAATAGTCGCAAACTTCATTGGTTAGAGTTTTGCTCCACTTCTTAATCCATAGTTTAAGGCAACACTTTCAGGCGACACCCTGTAATAATTAAAAATTACCATTGACGTCAACAAGTACGTATGTATGTATGACCAAGGAATGTACATTGTACTTATGCAATATATTTACTACGAAAACTGTATTTACCTCGTTACCAATTACATACATGGATAACTAATAAATGTTTGACACCTCAAGTGGGATAAAATCATTGACGAATGTTAAAAACTCCAGATAAGCCTGAACAAAGGGAATGATGCAATTCATCCCTATATCAATTCCAATCAATTCTGACAAAATTCGTCACTCGGTCATAATGTTGTTTCGAATAATTACCTTGGCTACGTGCCTTTCCTTTGTGGTCGGCTTCGTGCAGGAAATTACATTCTACACGGAACCTGACTTTGGCGGAAATGCGCTCCGATTTCGAACCAAGCAACCAGATCTTACCATGTACTCGCCCATATAGATGTCAAGTCATGGTGCAGTACTGGATAGTAAGGACTTTCTACTTAAAACAAGTTATTGCATAATTCGAATCCACTTTTTATACTTTTCGTTCAGTTAATTTACTTAACGGGTGGAAAATATGCTGCAAAAATTATATCACGGCGGAGTAAGAGTTTCCTGCAACACGTGCTAAAAATATTAGAAACAGGTGTAAAATGATGTCGAGGGGGGCGGGTGTGCCAAATTTCATTTTAATGTACGAATAATGCTACCTGCTACCCGTTGCTAACTCTTACCCAACCCGATACCCGCTTTGAGAAATTTAGACAAAATTGGCTGTCATCTAAGAATAAACTCGATTTGTTTTAATCGGGGGTAAGCGGGTAAAAGTTACCCGACCCGGTACCCGCTGCAACCCTACCACCCTCTCAATAATTTTTCGACATAATTGTTACCGGCGGAGATAAGTACTCTTCAATTCTACCGCGTGGTAACACTATAGCAACAAATTGTCTTCTACGGGCAAGAAATTTCCTCCGGTATCGGTAATATTTCTATTACCTGAGCGTTGACAATAGGGGCTGAGCAAGATTTAGCCTCTGTATTTATGTTACCCTTCGGTGATAAATTATTTCCCAAGCGGTAGAATTGCATAGTACCTCCGCCGGTAAGAATATCATCAAAAAATTCTGGAGAGTTTAGTGTGACCAGTTTAGTGTGCCAAGTTTTTCCAATTTGATTAAAAGACAATTTTATCCCGGAAGAATTGAGCGAATCAAAGTATGTATTCTTCAAATTTAGCTGGCACGGATTCAGCCGGATAAATTACAACGGGACGTTCGAATTCGCAATTTATTCTGCTAATGGAACAGTACTCTGCGCGAATCGAACCTTCCCGCGATAATGTCCTTAAGACATCTGGGACCCTTGGAAACAACGACGCCTTCTATGTCAGTTTACAGCGGAACTGACGGCGGGCACGTGGGTGGGATCGAGCGGACTTTCACTTCTTTGGCCGCCACCAATTTCGGATTTCTTCCTAAATTCATCGTTTTTACCGGAGCCTCGAGTTGGACGGGTTTTGTGAACGAGGATTTTTCAGGAAACTCGACCTGTTACTCGACCAGTGAGCTGATGGGAAATTTACGGTCACATTCTTAATGACATTTTTTCGGCCTGAGTGTGAGTGGCCACTTAAACTCAATGAATTTCATATTCTTAACGAAAATAATCTCCACTCTCGTGAGTGGAGACTTTGGAAAAAAGTGAGTGAACTTTGGGTCATGGAGATGAGTTCAACTCAGACAATTTTCACAGTTTGTATTCCCAATGACTGTTTTATTTCTCCACTCAACGAATTTTCGAAAGTATCACTCAATTTCGCTAGTTACGCAACGAGCTATCTTTGGCTGCGCTCTCAACGTTCGTTCTCAAATTCAAGTAGGTGATTTGGCACAATTATCGCAAGGGACGGTGTCGAAGTTGGTCATGCGTGTCTCCGGAGCCCTGGCAGCCCTGCGTCCTCAGTTTATCAAGTATCCTAATAACAACGAAGCCAATTTAGTTCGCCAACGCTTCTACACCTATGGCGGATTTCCGGGGGTGGTTGGAGCTATTGACTGCACACATGTTCCAATAAAATCTGTTGGAGGGGATAATGCTGAGCTATTCAGAGACCGACATGGAAATTTCTCCATAAACGTTCAAGCAGTGTGCACATCAGACCTGAAGATAACCAACGTTGTAGCACGCTGGTTTGGGTCATGTCACGATAACAGGATTTTTGAAAATTCAGCGCTTTATGGGCAACTCGATCGAGGAGAAGTACCAGGGATACTACTCGGTGACTCAGGATACAGCTGCACTCCCTATCTGATGACCCCATTGACGATGCCGAGAACTGCAGCCGAAAAACGATATCAAAGTTGTCAAATCAAAACTAGGAACCCCATCGAACGCTGCTTTGGCACCGTGAAGCAGCGTTTTAATTGTCTGCGATACATGCGCCTAAAGCTATCCACAACCCTATCCACCATTGTTGCATTTTTCGTTCTACACAATATTTCCATAATGTATCGTGACGATCTGGAATTCGAATACGAGGATCACGAGGACGATGGGGACGAAAATATACGGAACCAAAGTACAACTTCCGGAATTTCAGCTAGGAACCGAATTATTTCTTCTCATTTCTCATAATTGAATTTTAGAGAATGTTTTATTTGCTGTTTCTTGTATTTAATTAAATGCAAATTGTTTACATAAATTATCGAACGAATTAAATAATGGCTTGTAATTCCTCCTCCAGTGAAATGATAATTTCATGCCCAGCAAGGAGTTTCCTTTTCCGGTCTTGTGGTTTTGATTGCCTGCCTTTACTACACATCACCTTTCGAACTAAAAATTACAAATGGTCATTCAAATTGTAAAATTGAAGCCTGATAAAAGCATGATAAAAAGGTCTCACCAGTTGTGTCATTAGTACATCCTATATCGTCGCAATCAGATGGTGGGACGACAGCAGTTGCCTCAATTTCGACCGTGCTTTGTTTGGCTGCATCTTTTTGATTTCGTCCTAAATAGATATATATATTTATATAGATTATACAATTATATTGTGACAAAATAACGTACTTCGTAACCACTCATCAAATCCAAGTTCCACACCCGATCCTGCAGAATCAGCGTCATCGTCATATTTATTTTCAAGCGAGGTCATCTGTGCCGGAACAATGGCTGCGACCTTGTAGGAGGTTGGGGAAAGAGAATTCTCTTTCGACCCTCCGCCGGTTTTACCTCGCCCCCTTTTCTTTTTTGAAATCTATTAAAAATGTATCAATGTAATTCGATCATAATTTCGGATTATAATTTTAATCATGTAATCGAAAATAGTGATAACATAACTAACCTGCTTTTTGCAGCGACTTTTCAGATTTTCCCAGCCTTTTTTCAACTGAGCCCTATACGTTTCACTACCGAAATGTGGGAACAAAATTCCGTACTCACACTGTCCCAAGCGTCCTTTTTCTGAGCTGTCCATACAGCGTTGGTTCGCTTGGTTCGCTTGTTCGCTCGGCTTTAACAGACGGCTTATTCACTATTTCCAACAAAATTTCCTTCTCCTCAGAAGTAAAAGGGGGTAATTTTGCAGTCTTTTTTTTCAGATTCATCTTCCGAATTAGACATGATCAAACTCTTCTTTCCAACCAATGAATAATAGCTCTGATAATTTACGGTGATACTAGCATAGAGAAATGCACCAAGTTTCGTAGATGTTACATCCTTAACACGAATTCTATTAGTAAATTTATTACTATTATTTACTTGAGAACAGGGGCAAATTTTATTTTGCAAGTCAAGTTGAAAGTCCCACTCAAAAATCTCGACTCAGCTCACAAATTGGAGACTCAGCTCACAAATTCTGAGTGGAGGTTAATTTTCATTAAGAATACCAACTGAGTTGAGTGGAGAATCGACACTCACACTCATACTCAGCAAAGTGTGAGTGTAAGTGGCGATTTTTGTGTCATTAGGAATGTGACCGTTAGTCTTGAAACGGGCTGAGGTGCGGTCTATAGTGAAAGGTTGTGAAGCCAAGTATGAGAGCGAAAATGTCAATGTCGATAAGGTTTTGTGAATATGTATGAGTTATGTTAAGAATGATAAAATGTACGTTTTTGAGACTTAGTATGTTATATAAATACACAAATCGTTATTTCACTAAATTAAATAAATTATCAGTAAGATATTGCTTGTACTAGAAATTGTACAATTAATATAAACCCAAATGTACCCAGTACTCCCTTAATTAGTGTTACAAGAACAACTTATTGTAACGAACCTAGTTTATCGAATTTCGAAAAAATAAGTTCATAGCTGAAAAGCCAATGAAATTTCGTGTAAGATACACTATTCACTTAATAAAATCTCGATCTTATAAGGCGACGCGAGCCCGGAGTCTTGGTATACAACACTCGATCGGAGTACGCAAGCTTTGCGGGGGAGATTTGCCCAATTTCTACACGGTTACATTTTGATCCAAACTTGGGTGGGGTTTAGCACATACATCCAGCTAAAGTTAGAAAAATATGTCATACTCCAGCAGGTTGAGGTTCGGCGACAATGATTTTTGTTTGGGTTGTCGGATTTTTTTGTTTACCAAAATGTTGTTGAAAAATTACAACACGTCATATTTGCTGATCTATGTATCAATTTGGTACCTTGGGTCACAAAAGTTTTTGAAACATGGTTTCTGACGGATAATTGCATGGGGATTTCAATACAAAGTAGTACAACTTTCTTATAAACTGTCTTGCCTGCTTAGGTAATTTACCTGAGAAATCTTGCAACAGCAATTGAGGGAGTACTAGGTATGTATGTATGATCAAGAGGAATTTTGTTTGGGAAGAAGTCTTTTTTCATAATAAGATAACCATGGCTAATCTAAATTTTCTCACAATTTTCTTAGATTTCTTAGAATCATTATTCACTTAAATTACATAATACACTTGTAGAAAAATAGTACCCAATAGCTATCAGGATAACCAGTTCAAGGAAATTGAATAGCAACTGTATTCAATTTTTGTGAATCGTGAAATTTTACGAAATTCTTGGGTATGTAGATAGGAATTTAAATTTGCCGACAGATCGATTTGCTGAAAGTTTTGATGAGCTATAATTTGAATTCAATTATTTTTATAGTGTATTGTTTTTGTGTTTCGGGGAATAGAATTTGATTGCACGTTTCAGGATGTCCAGCTAAATATAATACTTTTTATATTCGTCTGGTAGGTAAGAGAACAGAAAACTATAATGAAGGTAGGTGGGTTGTATCCACAAATTAGTATAATTTGCGTAAAATCTACCAAAAAGGCGTAATGTCTGTTCTGCCTAATCTTCAATGTTGGTGCCATATGATATGTGGACACATGTCAAGTATATAACTTCTAGATGCATTTATGTATCTCACATATTGTATTTAATTATTGACAAGAATGGTTTCACAAAATTCACAAAATTTCAAACATTATTTAGGGCCACCAGCGTCCTAAATGTCCCTCTGAGTAAGCTTTTCGCAAACTTTAGTACGGTCAATCGTCTGATGACGTAATATCCGCCTTGCCCTATTGCCAACGGTCTAACGCTCCTCCTCCACTTCTTGACCCACTTCGGACCTCCCAAACTCTTCCAGGATTCCTTATTCTTTAACGAGCTCGCGTAAAACTGACCGCCAAGTTGAAGTACGCATGTCCAATAGACGATAAGCCCTATTTCTCCGTTAATCAGGACATAGCGAAAAAATCCTAAATGTCCCCAGTGAGAGAGTAGCATCCAATTACAGAAAAGTGAAAATTTTAGCACCAACGTTTGAAAGGGAATCAGTCCCGCCGAAAAGAAGGATATAATACGGCGGTTAAGTATTTCGAAGGCGCGATATTCGAATGGGAGGGTGAGGCTGGATCGGAAAGCGGAGTGGGTATGGTACTTCTTAGTTTTTAGAGTGATGTTGAATTCCCGGGAGTGAAATGGAATGAGGAACGCTGAAATGAAATTTATAATTAAAATGTGAAAAACCAGAAAAATGCAGGGTAAGGAAAACCTTGGGGATTTGCTATTCGAAACCCATACCCAGGGGTGTTACCTGGGTTTTGCGGGTAGTCGAGGTTTTGGGGTATTCAGGTAGTGGGGGTTTTTAGTGGTAAACTGACTCTCTGTGTTTCACGTATTAGGCTTAGAAAAAATCTAATTTTTAAGTTAGTTAACGTTGACTTAGGTGACTCATCGTCTCAAAAAATCTCACGGCAAAAAATACAGCGCGAAAGCTTTTTAACATGGAGTACATTACCCGAATGAGCCGAATTATTTTATTATTTCGTACCACTTATTTTTATTTTGGCGTAAAAATCATACGAAATTGAATAATGTAAACGCCAAAATAAAATAAACTGGTGTCAAATAATAAAATAATTCGGCTCATTCGGGTAATGTACTCCATATGATGAACTCAAGTTTACCTACATACCAAAGTTACTTTCCACACCATGATTTCAAAATCGTTTTCTGGAACAATGAAATGAAAAATAAAAAATCCGTCGAGTCATTTTGTAGTCAGTAAGCTGATTAATGGGATAGTGATGAGTTTTTTTAAAGAAGATAAGCCAATTCTGTTGATATCGATTTTTCTGAAGGCCTTCGCTCTTTTTGGTATTCCTCCTTCAAAACGGGTCAAAATCTACAGTGCATACTTTTAATAAATTGGTACTGACCTGCTCTACAAAATGACCCGATGGAATTTAAAAATACATTCCCAGAGCCGAGAAATGAGTAAAAATGTGCAGATTTTTAGACCTGTGACGTCACAGGCGATGAGTCATCTAAGTCAACGTTAATATCCCCAAATGTCCACCCCACTGTCTCCCACTGAAGTGTCCTTACCCGTATAACAAATGAAGGTCCCTGCCACAATCCCCACCAACATGGACGACATCAACATCAGGTACGAGTAGAAAATGAGGTGCGTCCAATACAAATACTGAGACCAATATCTCCTGGGCACGATCGAGAGCCAATGAAACGGAATAATATTTATGACGTAAACTACCACACAACCCGAAAAGTAGTAGCCTACAACAATAATCCCGAGAAGCTGGAGGGCACTATTTAGCAAACGTCCCGTCGGATAGGACCCCTGAATTTCCTCGTCACTAAGGGAAACCCAATTTTTTCTGAGATACGAAATATAGTACAATTGTTGATTGCAACAATGCACAACTTCGGCCGTATTTATGACAAGAAAGACACAAATTAGGGGAATCACCATAGCCAGGGTAATAATGTAGGACAAGTTAAACATGAAAAGGTCAGATTCGTTTTCTTGGGGAAGGTGAGAAATGCGCCAAACGCCAAAAATTGTTTGGGTGATTAACACAAAAGAAGTAAACCGGAAACGAAGAAGGGATCCATTAGTGGTGTAGAAGTTTCTGGTTTGGCTGTTGAATAACACGGGATTCGCGCCAAGGAGTGAGGCGACTTGCAAAATTGCTTCGGTAAATCGGGGTAGTTTTTCGGAGTACATTATTTCGGTGGTCGGTTTTTGGAGGAATGGATAGAACTGAGAGGGTTAGGAAGTTTGGCGAAATATACATAGTTGCGAATCGTATACACTCTAAATAAAAATGAGTAGAATTTACGCAAGGTTA